TTTTATCTACCCATCCACGTTAAGAAATAAATAAGCTTTGTTGATACCCTATGAAACTATATTGAACTTGCATGGTGCAAATTGTTTGCATTTACCCAGTTTGAAATGGATGTGCTATTTTATTTTTTTTTGCAATTTTTAAAACTTTGTTATTCTTGTCTTAAATGGAAAAAGGTAGACCTTCCTCAAAATTCCAAGTTGATGATATTTATACTTTAAGATAATAATATTTATACCAAACTAAACCTGTCATTTTTCAGACTTCACAACCAAATCATGGATATAGGAGGATCCAAGATGAACGCTGCTCAGTCACGTGTCAATGCTATACAGTCGCAGATAGACCAAGTTGTAGGTCAGATCACAAAGGCCAGTGTAGGTGTCAAAACCTCAGAAAGGTAATTTTAAGATATTTCTAACCAAACATAGTGTACATAAATTAATTTTCATTTAAGCAAATTTGTTGTTGCCAATACAGCAGAAAAGGAAATTATATGAACAGATTCAGAGCAGTATACCTCTTATTAAATAACATGGTGTTCGCTAGGAGATTACTTTTATATTAATAAGTCCTTATGATATTTAAGGATTCTTTTTTATTGCTTTAAAAGGTATCTGTAGCTTCTTGCTACACTATAAGAGAATAATTGTTAATTTAATGGCATATGTTTTGTATTCTGTTAGCTTTTAGCCTTTGCTGCTGTTGAAATTGTTTGATTAAACTGATCATACTTTGAAATTGGTATTATCATTTATAAATTTTAGTGATTTTAGTTGCAAAATACTAAGATCAAGCAGCCAATAGTATGATTCTGAGTCTCATCAAATTGCACTGATCTGCATGTAATCCTGGCTCTGTTCTTGCAATACAAGCAAATCATCTGTGGTGCCAAGGTTTTAACAGTTAAAACAAATATTTTCTTATGTCAGGAACTTGAAGAAAGCTGAGGATAAGTTGGCCAGTTTGTATGACGAGATAGAAGAGAATAAAGAGGATGTGAAAAACCTGGAGGCTAAACTTGGAGAACTGGAGGTTGAGGCAACCAAAGTTATGGAGGCATACCAGGAATCACAGGTAAAATTGAACATGTCTTTGTTTTATTAGGCAAAGTTAATGAATTTTGTTTTAAGCAAAGTTAATAAATGGTTGAGGGTTGCTGATTTGGATAATTTGCCTCTTTGTAGTATGGACTTATTTTCGTGTCATTTGACAACATGATGGACTTTCTGTCATATATTGTTAATAATTCAGGAATTTGTAAATCACTTGTCCACACATTGTGACAGATACAGGGATGTTGATTCTTTTATGTAAGTTAAATGCTTACAGATATTACCCAGCTGCATGCTTATGCATAAAATAATATACAGAGAGGCACATGAGGTCTTCTTTCACAAGTAAAGCTGGAAATTCATCATTTGATCTCTGTCACTGTTTGTTAAAATCCAAACATAAATTTTGTTTATAATTCCTACATTTGGATTTGTGATACAGACCAATCTTATCCTGCTAGCTTATTTTCATACCATAATAGAGTTGTCTTTTTTTTCCCCAATATTAACAGTTGTTTTGAAAATGATAAAAAACTGTGCTTGTTTACTCTCAGGACACAATGCGTGAAGCAGTAAAAGCCCTAGATGAGGTAAACAAAGAACTGGCAGAGTTGGAAGAGGAAGAGAACAAGATACAGAAAGAAGTTGTAGATGTGAAAGCAGATCTGGACAGGTGTCAAAATCTAATGAAAGAAAACCAGGCTAAACTCAAACATTGGAAGAAAGAGGTAAGTTTGTAAATGCGATGTTATCTATTTGTTAATATTGCAGTTTTTGTCAAAACTTTTAGTATAATCTAAAATACGCATCACTTTCAGAATTCATGCATTAAAGTCAGCACAACAAAATAAAAATACGCTTGTATGTCAAAAGACAAGTGTGAAGAATAGAAGTGTAAAAATCATAAAATACAATATGTTTCTATTTTATTGCATTAAAAACTAAAAATTCTGTAGAGGCTGTCTGTAGGTCTTTATCTATATCTTTAAATACAAATATTGTTACCATATTATAACTAAACTTATGTACATGAATATATGACTTTTAAATCCAACTTCAAAAACAATAACTAGTATTCTATCAATTATATTGTAGCTGTCACATTTAACACTGACACCTATAGACAGGCAGGAGGTTGAAGAGTTACAGACATTATCAGAGGAGGATTTAGATGGCATTAAAGTAGATGAGTTAAAGTTTCAAATCACAACGCAGGAAGAAAAACTCCAACATATGAAGCCCAACATGGCTGCCATTGCTGAATATAGAAAGAAGGTATAAGAGCAGCCCAGTCTTATACTTGTTTTATCCTCACCTCCCTGAATCAGTATAAATGGACTTTTCTTGCTTTGAATTCAGATCTGTCCATTTTACATTTTAGGGATTTAAGTATTACATTATCAAATAAAATTGAGTATTGGTTATGCTATATTATGGTGACACAGGTCTGTTGTTACTACCTCAAATCTGCTATGACAAATTTGGTAACAAGTACATTCAATTTTGAATTTTATTTCATGTACCCAACAGAACGGGTCTGATAATATGCACAGAATGTGTTCGTAACAGGATCTACATCTGAATTGTATTAAATTTTTGTTGATAATATGATCGATAACCTTTACCATAAAATCACTCCTACTTGACTAGCAATAAGATGAGTTATATTGTTTTCACTACCATTACTATGTTTAATATTTGAGAATAGTTTATTGATAGGTTTGTCGATTATTTTCTACTTTTTTACATGTGACAACTCTACTGCATTTTTAGCTCGACTTTTCTATGAAAAGGGGAGCTATCCTACTCGCCCCGGCGTCGGCGTTGGCGTCACACCTTGGTTAAGTTTTTCGTACCACCCCACTTTATTTCAGAAGTATTACAAGTATGGCTTTGAAACTTACCATACTTGTTCACCATCATAACCTCCATCTACAGACAAGAGTACATAACTCTGTCAAGGTTTTTGACAGAATTATGGCCCTTTTTTGACTTAGAAAGTGTATTGAGCTTGGTTAAGTTTTTTGTACCACCTCACTTTATTTCAAAACCATTGGAGGTATTGCTTTGAAACTGACCATACTTGTTTACCATCACGACCTTCATCAACAGACAAGAGGACATAACTCTGTCAAGGTTTTTGACAGAATTATGCCCCTTTTTGACTTAGAAAATACATTGAATATGGGTAAAATCCACTTATTGCCTTAACCCTTTGAGATATTGCTTTGAAACTTTTAATGCTATTTCACATCATTACCCCCATCTGTACGCAAGAGAAGGTAACTCTGTCAAGGATTTGTTTTAAAAATTAAGGCCTTTTATCGACTTAGAATCTTCGTTAAGTTTTTAGTACCAGTCCACTTTTTGACTGAACTGTTTGAGATATTAATTTGAAAGTTGGAATACTTGTTTACAATCATGATTCCCAAACATGTCCAGGAGAAGGTAATTCTGTCAAAGATTTTATTTGAATTATGGCCCTTAACTGTCAATGTTTTGTATTATAGGCAAGCACTAAAAAACTTAAAAAATCTAAAAAAATTCATTCCTATCCACTGAACCTGCAGTGTTCAAGGGTATCACACAATTCAGTAAAATAATTCTTCACTAAATATCTTAATGCTCATGGCCATTGTTCACTTTAAAAATACAGAGATTCTTGTATTGCCTTTTACTGCAAAAACTTTTTTTATTGGCAAGCAATAAAAAAGTCGAGCGCGCTGTCTTACGGACAGCTCTTGTTGTTGGGTTGAGTCAGTATTATAACATAGGGAATACTATCTTTTGTAATATGTTATTAGGAAGAATTATACCTTCAACGTGTGGCCGAGCTAGATCAGATCACAGAGTTTCGTGACAAGCAGCGTAAATACCATGAGGATCTACGTAAACAGAGGCTTGATGAGTTTATGTCGGGTTTCAGCGTGATAACATATAAACTGAAGGAAATGTACCAGATGATCACTCTAGGAGGAGATGCCGAACTTGAACTTGTCGACTCACTCGATCCATTCTCTGAAGGAATTGTATTCAGGTTTGTGTAACAAATAATTTACTTAATTGATTACGTTATGAATAATATGTATATAACACTTTTTAGTACTGGGTGGTTCATGTGAATGGTATGGAATTTACTGTAAACACTGATTAAGAAAACTGTCTGCAGACGACTGTTTAAAAACCCGAAATTATCCCAGATTCATTAAGATAACAAGATTAAATCAGGAACCAGTGATGATTTTCTTGTAAAGTTACAAGAATGTGCTGCAAGAAAATATACAAATTATAATTAAGAATTATTTCTATTTTATATGTTATGTGAACAATTCAGTTAAAGATTTTTTTTATGGTTTTATATCATAAATCTGATGCTCAAATGAAGATTTATCAATGTTGTAAGTTTAAAAAAGCATTAATAGTAAAGATATTACCGGATTTAACATTTCATGTTAATAACGGGAAGTAATTAAAAATTTATTTTCGATAACGTCTAGGCCAGTTTTTTTGTTGTTTTTTTTTTCAATAAAAAAATGATTGCATTAATTTTAATGTTTAGTAATAATGTTTATAAGCATTTGCTGCTCATATTTAACATATTTTTGGTTGTTTGGAAATTATTTTAGAAGAATAATTATATACAAATATAAAATTTCACTTTACTGTTGTTACATCCTTAAATTACAACATACAGGATCTTTAACATTTATGCTACTTCATTACAGTGTGCGTCCACCAAAGAAGTCATGGAAGAATATATCAAACTTGTCAGGTGGCGAGAAAACCCTCAGTTCTCTTGCACTAGTATTTGCTCTACATCATTTTAAACCTACACCTCTATATGTGATGGACGAGATAGATGCCGCCCTTGACTTTAAGAATGTCTCTATTGTGGCTAACTACATAAAGGTAAGAATAATTAACAATCATCATGGTATATTTGTTAAATGGACTTCTTATGCTTTGAATTTCGAAAAGTATTTAGTAAATGAGAGGGACTTAAAGGGACTCCACTGAGGTTTAAAGGCCTAAAAAAAGAACATTTGAATTTCTTACATGAATGAGCTGGGGCATTTTAAACAGATATATATGAAAAGATAGTTAAGAAATGTACTTTTGAAATAAATTGAAAATCGTATTTTTATGCTTTTCTTAGCCCGATTTGAGTGAAAAGCGTTTAAACGCTTTTCATTTTGAGTAATTTTTTTACAATTTGAATAAGTATTCTGGAAAAACGAAGTGCGTGAATGATCTGAAATTTTGCAGAATGATTAGTTGTCTTAACCTACATCAAATGGTACATTTATCTGAAAAAATTATTTTCAGTCCCATCATGTCAAAAAACTTCAGTGGAGTCCCTTTAAGTAACAAAAATACTGGAATTTAGGTGCCATTAATATATTGATTGGTCAGACTCTAATGATTGAAGGAAGTTATATATTAATGGATTTTATTTGATTTCTTGGGGTAATATAATAATGTATGCTATAATATATCAGGAGGTTGTATCTTAATGCATGTCATGTGATTTCAATAGGTTTTACATCTATATTCATGTAGATGATTTCAGAAGGTTATATGTTTATGTATATTATATGATTTCAGGAGGTTATATATTTATGTATATCATATGATTTTAGGAGGTTATATATCTATGTATATTATATGATTGCAGGAGGTTATATATTTATGTATATTATATGATTTTAGGAGGTTTTATATTTACTTATACATGTATTATATGATTTCAGGAGGTTATATATTTATGTATATTATATGATTGCAGGAGGTTATATATTTATGTATATTATATGATTACAGGAGGTTATATATTTATGTATATTATATGATTTCAGGAGGTTATATATTTGTTATATTTATGTATATTATATGATTGCAGGAGGTTATATATTTATGTATATTATATGATTGCAGGAGGTTATATATTTATGTATATTATATGATTGCAGGAGGTTATATATTTATGTATATTATATGATTTCAGGAGGTTATATTTATGTATATTATGATTTCAGGAGGTTATATATTTATGTATATTATATGATTTCAGGAGGTTATATATTTATGTATATTATATGATTGCAGGAGGTTATATATTTATGTATATTATATGATTTCAGGAGGTTATATATTTATGTATATTATATGATTTCAGGAGGTTATATATTTATGTATATTATATGATTGCAGGTTATATATTTATGTATATTATATGATTTCAGGAGGTTATATATTTATGTATATTATGTGATTGCAGGAGGTTATATATTTATGTATATTATATGATTTCAGGAGGTTATATATTTATGTATATTATATGATTTTAGGAGGTTATATATTTATGTATATTATATGATTTTAGGAGAGGACAAAGAATGCTCAGTTCATCATTATATCTCTACGTAACAATATGTTTGAGCTGGCAGACAGATTAGTGGGTATTTATAAGACTGACAATTGTACAAAATCGGTGACAATAAACCCAAATAAACTAGCAATACCTCTTCAAGAAGTGGACACAAATGCTGCATAAATCAGGGAATGAACTTTGACACTGCATTAAGCAAGATGTGGACCTGGACACTGCATAAATCAACACATGAGTCTGACCTAAACTTTGTTCTACACAATTTGGACCTGAACTCTGCATAGGGAATTAAAAATATTGTACCATCGTAGTTTGTAGATAATAAACATTGTATTTGTAATATTATCAAAGTTCAATATAATGGTTATTGTGATTTACAAATGTATAGTGTGTACAGAATCTTTTAAAATATGAAGTGAGACAGTTGAGAAATTGCCAAACAAGACCAAATTATACTTGCTGTTGATATTAAGAGACATTCAAATGTCAAACTTTCTTTTGTATTGAATCTGAAGATTTGCCTTTTTAAATGAAACTATTCACATGAAGTGATTTTGCTGACAGAAATTTAGAAAGCCTTTAATATGTAATATCTAACACAGACACTTGGGGTGTGGAGCTAAAAACGCCTTTAAAATCCAAATAAAATGTATATTTGTCAATTCCAGCACATGTGCTGGGCTTTGAAGATGAGAACCAGTCAGCTATAGGCGGAGCCATTCGGTAATATGTTGGTTCCCATAACTCAAAGCATGGCGTATTTGTATACCACAAAGCTGGGGAGCCACGTTTGAATCTGTCGAAAGATTTTATAAATGGAGTAAAATGGCGATAATCTTGATGTTTATTCCGCCTCTTGCGTTGTTTATATTGATGTTGAAGTTTAAAATTGACCATCATTGTGGAGAATTATGTCTTCTGTGACGATGGACCATGGATTATGTGAAAATATTGGAAATGGAGTAAAATACATGGTGATAATAACGGTAGCTGTGCAGATTTTTTCTGGCGAACATTTTTATCTTTTGTATTATTGTAGACATTGAATTTTTTTTTCAAAACGGCTTATATTTAGTTTTTTGTATATATATGATCAGTACATGTGCTGGGATTGACAAATATACATTTTATTTGGATTTTAAAGGCGTTTTTAGCTGTCTGTGAAAGCTAATATTGTGTGTATCTGTTAACAAATTTGTATGTATTGAATTATTGTAGCATCAGCTTATTTTGCATGTCTCTAATTTTGGAAATTCAATTTTTTCTAGTTAAAAGATTAAATGTTTGAAATTCAAAACAAAGTTACAAATCTATTTTTTTTTGTGATTTTGAGGGTACTTTACATAATATATGTTAGGTTTTTAATGTGGTTGCGTTTTAGTTGCACCAACTTTGTAAAGATCATTATCATGGCAACTTTTCAGCTGGTTATCTATTTGTTGCCAATTGATTATAAAAAGTTAAACTCCTTTAGTAAATGGTATGTCTAACTTACTCAAATAGAATTACAATACAACCATAAGGCAACAATTTGGATGGAATTTCATGGATGAAATAGAATGTCAAATAATGTTGTACATATGATACAGATCTTTTGTTTCATGATTGATTATGTTATAGAACTTTAACTACAGCGCAGTTTATTAGATCAGATGTTCTCAATCTTGAATTTACTGGGTTCGTACAAATAACCTTTTGATTTCTTTTCACGTACATGTATATAAATCAGTGTGTATATAATTATTTAATCATGAGTGTGGCCTTCTTTTCTTAATATCTGACTGGCTAACTTATTCTATAAACCTCTTTTCTCTGACTTTTTTCCTTCTTTATTGACTTCTGTGTAGAAATGTATTCAAATAACTAAAACTTGATCTTGAAGTTTTGTTTATTGCACATGCTCTGATTTTTTATTCTTTGGCATAAAGGTTGTACATAGTTTTTCCATATATATTTGAGTATCCACAAAGTGTGTTCATTTTGAAGAAGTTCATAAGTGCCAGTGCATTGTGTTTATATGTAATATTTCCTAAGGGTTTTATGAAAAACAGTGTGGTATTTATAGTTCTACAATCAGTATAAGTTTACTTCATAAATATATAGCAAAGGTTTTGTTAAATTCAGAGCTGATGTATAAGATGTAGCATCAGTTCCGTGGTACTGTCAAAAAATGCATTTTTTTCATACCTACAGCTTGGTTTATAGATTTTACATAAATTTATTTATACTGACCCTTATTACTTATCAAAATCGTCATTGATAAGATTTTCAGGATATGTTTCTAGTTGTGGCCACAGTGGTCAAATGGTTAATGTTGCAGGTTTTACTACAGTATATATCTCATTCTGGCAAGATGGCATTCATTTCTTTGCTTTGCATTTGGCTTCAGGGAATGAAATCTTCCATTGTGGTTAAGACATCCAATTCACTATGGATTATGATTTCTGTTGCAAGGCGTTGTAGTAAGATAATTGATGAACTCTCATGCATTATTTCATGCTCGAATGGGCAGTGTTGGAATGACAGATGATTTGTTAAATTGTTGTACACTTTTCTTGGATGCATATGTTCATCTCAAACAGAGGGATTTGGATTATCTGTCTGCAGTCTTAAATATTATGTCACAGTGTTTGCAACAAACTAAAGAAAATAAACGATGTTTATAGCTGATATTTCATATAATGATAAACATTTTAATAAAAACAATATTTCATAACAACTAAATCGGGTTTTTCTTTATTCTTTACCAATTTATTCTTTACCAATCGGTGCAAAAGTTTGCACTTATACAGCGCATTAACCAGTTATGTTAATTATACAATAGCTAGGGATACGGACTCACTTTTTCTTGTTCGAAATATTTTCTATAATAATGAACGAATTTACACCAAAATTAACGTTTATATCAGCATTGATTCTATACGGCTAATTCCTGTACCAAAATACAAGGAAATGATCTCAGAAAAAAGATGTATGTAGTCTATGCTTTATGAGGGTCCATCAGCCGTAAAAGCACGAGACCGAGTACGGACCCATGACTTGTAACCAGTCCTGCCCTTACAGGGTTAATTTTTAAATGGTTTACCTCTGTGCAATTTTCAGGGTATAAGTCAAAAGTAAAATTTTTAGCAGAAAGTATAGGTCACTGTACAGTTATCAATAAATACCTAAACGTACATTAAGCGGAGACACTATAAAACAGGCAAATAAAACTAAAGCAAAGGACACATTCGTTCAAGTCGTCTCTTGTACTCTTTGTACCCGTACTAGTTTGTACCACTCGAGATTAGCCAAATGTATCTTTCGTGTTTCGGCGCCATATGGCCTAAAGCGTGTTGGTGTGCCGTAAAACCAAACAAAACAATCTGTAGGCAGCTGGTCTCAGGTACAAGTTCTGGTCTTTGTTTACTTTTAGCATGTTAAGTTCTTCTGCCACATGGAGGTATGATAGCAAATCATCTACACCATACTGCTTCAAAATCGCTTACGATTACACTAAGCGGGCGCGTTGTCTTGGAATAGTTGTTTAAAAAATGTGCAAGTGCAAATTTATAGGTATCAGATAAAAGCAAGTTAAAAGAAGAATACAGGACTGAGATAAAAAAAAAAACTGACTTGTAGAAAGGATGCAGCTGCCCAGTAGACTATCACAAGATTGTGTTGGATTTTGTAGAGTAGGGTAACAGAGCTTATGTTGCGCCTCTGCTCTAGTTTGCAATTAAGATAATTGTTCAATTTAGATACATTTGTACACTAAATTGTATGGTGTTATTGTAGTCATTATATAACATATCTGGCAGCTGACATTTGAACTTGTTCTAATTTTTAAACCAGACATTTTTGTCAAGGATGCCAAAAAGTAGAACAGGTATTATAACTGGGACCTTACATATGTTTTATAGGCAGTTTCTTTGACCTTTTTGATGGAAGTTTTAACATTTCTTTTTACAGTAAGGCAGATAAAGTTTGATGTAAGTGGTAAATGCATTACTATTCGACGAAGACTTTAATTCTTTACGCGAATCAAACATACATGTATAGTTTTACATTAGACAAACTAGTATAATTGATTTTTAAGAATGATATATATCAAGCACTTTGTTTCTTTAAATGATGGAAATAAACCCTGACACTTGTTTGTTTGATTTGGTTTTACGTCACACCGATACCGTATAGTTCATTTGGCGACGTTCCAGCTTTACTGGTGCGTTATTTCAGGCACATACGGGCACCTGAGTAGAAACCTTGACACAACCACCCGATACTGAATATGAACTTACTTATCTGTTTATCTTCTTCATCTACCCATGTGATATAATCTACTCTTCGTTTTAAACAATCGTAAAATATATCTAAATGTTTTGAGATGGTCCCATTCATTGAAGAAGATAATCATTTTCGAAAAATAACTGTATGAATAGACTATTTTCTGTTTAATGTTTCACCATTGAATACCTACTTTCGGAAAAAGCATGACATTTATTGAGGCCCCGACAGCTTTTTTAGCATTTCGTGTGACATGCATTGGCTATATCATGTCTTCTTGATCATAATTGGAGGTCACTTTACAAGGTCCATAACTCTAACTATATGCAAACTCTGCTTACTTACCGGTCTTAGAGACTTGTGTGATGCTTTGTTTTTCGTTATAAGATGTATGACTTCTAAGAAAAATACTTTAGTTCAGTGATATTTTATTTTCTAAACTACCCTTGTGACTGAGGGGTTGCCTTGAAGGGTTGAGGCATCATAATTGCAGCCATCGTTTAACCCTGCATGATCCTAAGAGGCGACTTACTGTATCTCTTTACACCAGCAGGTGAGGTGGTTTTGATCCCTGGTGTTGCCTCAAGTTTGTAACACCCGAAGTTAGCCAATTTGAAATCATCTTTCCTGTTTCGGCGCCATATGACCTAAATTGTATTGTTGCGCCGTAAAACAAACAAACATTTTTTTCTGGTCATATTTTTATCATTGATATGTCAATATATTGACGCTTGAACATTTTATGCATTTGTTGCAATTATTTAAAAGACGACGATGGTATTGAATTTGTCACACACACACACACACACACACGCACGCACGCACACACACACACACGCACACACACGCGCGCACGCACGTACGCACGCACACACACACACACACACACACGGTTTTGAGTGAGCACAATAACTTTTTTTTTCGTTTCAAAACTACATTTTATTTACGATTTTATATAGGACTTTAATCTTTTTCATATTTTAGTTGAGGGAGTTATTGTTATCATACTTATATCAGTTTAAAAGTCTTGGAAGAAATTTCTTCTGCACACGAATGATCAGATATACTGTCATCTAAATATGCGATAAGAGCCTCCTTTTGCGTATTACCGTTGATCGATACAAAACGCTTAAAATGCTTCATAAACAAGTCATTCAATATCGGATTGTTAAACTGTTACATTGTGATCATATAAATCTAGGAATACGAATGAAATAATGCAGTAAGTATTTTTTTTAATTGCATCTAGCGGGTCTATACTTAATTTTCAGACAAAGTGGTTATAATGTATACATTAAAATGGAGCTGTTAAAATGTGTTTGATTACAAAGAACATATATTTTCATATGCATTTGGTAGTGGTTGGAATCGGTTAAAACATTTGAGGCGATAGTGCGAAAATTAAGCGAATGATTAATTAATCATGTAAGAGTAACAATTATGATGTATTTTAGTCAGAAATGTTAGTTAATAAATCATGCCATGTACAAAAAAATGTATGTAACTAAATTTGATTTCAAATTTCAGTCTTTTTTTAATATCACAATGACCAGCTTTGCAAGCCTGGCTTTTTACCGACATCGGTCAATAGGTTAATTAATGTAGTGTATCCGGAATACATGACGAGAGTGCCAAGAAACCAAGACATTTATCAAAAAAAAAAAAAAAAAAAAAAAAAAAAAATAAGTCAACAAGTTCTTTTCTATCATCCTCAGGTCAAAAACGTTTCAATCATCATTTCATACTTTAGTAAACAATCTTTTTAACACTACCATATAGCAAGAAATAAATTAAATAATTAAATGAAATATTGTTTTAGAATATGGGTAAAAGTGAAGAGAAAAGAAAAAGAGGGCCCATGATGGCCCTTGAGGTCCTCACCTGTATAGTTAGGCCTCCCCCAGGGGCCGGGGGCAATTTTTAGTCCATGCAAGGGGGCGTTTTATTTGAACAAATTGTGACACCCAAAGAAGAGCAGCTAAACATCTAAGCTCTGAGCTCATTTGGTTTTTGTGCAAAGAAGGATTTGTTAAAAGATTCTTACAACAAAAAATTTAAAAAAAAGGGACCCCCCTAGGGGGGGGCAATTTTACCCGGGGTTTTTATTTAAAACAAATTTTAGAAAATTACTAGAAAAAATTTTTTGGATGCAAATACAAAAACTTTACTTTTTTGGTTTTTTTACAAAAAATTTTTAATTTTTTGTTTAAAATGGGGGAAAATCAATACCCCCGGGGGGGGCCAATTTTGCCCCCGGGGCTTTTTTTTTAAAACCCAAACTTGTAAACTCCCCTAGAAGATGTTTTTTTGCTTAAAAACTAAACTCTAGCAAATTTGGGGTTTCCCTTAAAAGAAATTTTTAATTTTTTCCTTACAAAATACCCAGGAAAAAAAATTGACCCCTGGACGGGGCCTTTTTTGACCCCCAAGGCTTTTTTTGGAAAAAACTTGTAAAACCCATTAAAACATTTTTCCCATGCGAAATATACTTAGCTCTAGCTCTTTTAAGTTTCTTTAAAAAAGAGTTTTTTTTAAGTTTTTACTATAAATGCATATTAGGGAAAATCAATGACCCCCTGGGGCGGGGTCCCCAATTTTTGACCCAGCGTTTATTGTGGAAACGAAACTTCGTAGAGACGTCCGTTGAAAACTTTGTGCATCCAAATTTATCTAAGCTCTAGCTTCTTTGGGTCTTTTTTAGAAGAAGAATATTTAAAGCTGTTGGTTCCTATATGAGTTCTGCATGGAATTTAAATTCTTTTGAACATTTTTAAAAAGTGACGACCAAAAAAGAGTTTCTGTAAAAGTTTTGGGTCAGATGGCCATGTTGGTTTAGGAGGAGATGTTGTTTGAAAAAGTTTGACGCCATTTTTGAAAGGAGCACGACGCAACCGACGGACGCAGATTGAATGACAAAAGAGCTCACCCTTTGAGCACTTTTGCCAGGTGAAGCTTTAAAAAGGGGAAAACACCTTTTTGGGGAATTTTTGAAGTAGGAAAGAATAAGCTTTTGCAGTGTCTACTTTATAATGACTGTGTAAGACTAACAAAACTTTTTAAAAAAATCTAGCGGACATTTTTCCTATTATCATCAAACTTTTCAAGGAGCTTGTCTAGGAAAAAGTTCAGAGTTCGAACATGGGTTCATCTCGGCGTGAAAAACTAGTCGCGGGGGAAAGCTAAAAAAATAAGAAAAACCCTTCTTAACACTCTAGTGGCTCAGATTTTACTCAATTATCATCAAAACTTGGTCAGGATGCTTTCAGATAATTAGCTCGGGATTAATTTCAACAGGG